GGAGACTCTAGTGGCCTCCACTGCGAGACCCAAAGAGACCCGACAGGGAAGAGTTGCGCCACAGAGGCCCGACTGTTCCAGAGGACTCGCCCGAGAGAACGTAATCTGGATGTTTGAGCGTGCATGTTTGTGCCTTTGTTTATTGTTTGTGTCTCTGTGTGAGTGCTAACGCCAACCTCAAATTTGGGTTTCGTACACTCTAAAACAGCTTCCCTGCCCTCCGTCTCTCACTGTCCCCCACACACACACACATACACACACACACACAGACACTCTCTCTCTCTGGTTCCCATGCTTCCCAGCCTCATAGAGGGTGTAAACATAGTGTGGTTGGTGTTACCATGGTGAAAGCCTACTGAGGACCAGGAATGGCGACTATGCCCTGCATGTGGAGAGACCAGTGGCATGCTCGCTATACAGTAACAAATTATCTCACATGCACACACACACAAACACACACAGACACACACACACGCAAGCAAAATTATGCATGGAGTGTCTGTCTTATTCTATTATTGTCTCTTCCCCGCATGTCTTTAAACCCTATTACAAAGACAAAGTCAAGTTTTTTATCATTTCCATCCATAACTTCGATATTGTTTAACATTAGGTTGCTGCGATCTTGGAACTTAGTGACTTTGATGATAAAGAAGTCAAACAAGATGAAAAATGCAAGCAGTCAAATAATCATTTTTTGAAACCATGAAACATCCATCATAGATTACAAACCTACTTACTTCCTTGCTCACTTTCAAACGGTTGCAATCCTGTAGTGCACATATACTATTCTTTACAACATTTTGGTAGTGTTCACTTTCGGCTTCACTTCCATATGAAATCGCTTATATAAGCGGACAAAAATGTAGACTCGTTTAATCCTGTCCAATCTGACTACTCAACACTTTTCCCATCAGACTCATCGGAACTCATCAATAACTTTGATGACTGCGATGTTATGCTAACTGATAGAAATTATCTCTATTACTACATAAATAGACCCACTTTAGTTAAAGAACATGAAATCCCATCTTAACTGTACTTTGCAATGCTATGTATAGATTCTGATAAAGGCCACAAGCTGAAACACGTTGATCCCACAATATAGTTTTTCTTTATACTACAAATGCTGCTGAAATGTTGACCTTTTCAGCTGATGGAGTTCGTATAAAAAAAAACTAAAAACAGTTCTCACAAAGGTAGAAGTCCAGGAACACACACACGGGTTACTACTGGCATCTTTAGGACTGACAGCAATGAGCTTTATATGTTAGAATGAAGATTAGAGTTTGGACAAGTCTGCAAGACAGCGACATGGCTTGTGGCTTCAATCAAATCTATTGATTAAACACACACACACACACACACACACACACACACACACACACACACACACACACACACACACACACACACACACACACACACACACACACACACACACACACACACACACACACACACACACACACACACACACACACACACACACACACACACACACACACACACACACACACACACACACACACACAGAGTTACATGGCATGGCCTGCTCTGGCTACAGCTGTACACCCACACACCCATATTCATGTTCACACCCTTGCACACAGAGATATTTTTAGTGATCAAAATGATAAATCTCCCACTACACTGTGATGAGTTCTGCTGTACATAGTTCAACCTGACCATGAAATATGGACTTCTGGGATAGGAATCCTCCTGTGTCCATCTCTCAGAGCCGCATCAAAAACTGTTTACTACTTTTACTGAACGTGACTCTGCTGCTAAACACCAAAACATGACAGCAGACACATAAAGCCATGAGCTGGGACATGACGTATTTTATGTTCATTACCCATACTTTAATATACATCATATCTCAGTTTATCCTGGATAATATACAGCTGATTGCTTGCTACCATAAAAATGTTTGAAACTGCAGCTGCAAATAAGCCAACTTGGTACAAGGTTGAATCACATGTTCATCAACAACTTCACAAACAAAACCCTCTTGTTGTAATTCACATCTATTTTTCTCAGTGTGCAAATGCAAACGAGTGACATAAAGAGGGACTTATTATGCATCCTTCATTTTAAGAACAGCTATTTGATGAGAGTTAAAGAAATCAAAACTATACTCAGTCCAATGCTAAAACTGAACAAACAAGATGTTTTTGAAAGCCTGCGTATAGAAAGCAGCTGTCTGGTATCGTATCAGCGTGTACTGCCCCTCTGTATAATGCACCTCATGGAAACTGAGTCATGGTAAGGTCCAGAATATAAAGGGACGAAAATAGTCATGAACTGAATTCATAATCACCGTTCAATATATATGAGTTTGTGGGCTAATGATATTTTACACATATTGGTAAAGCCCTGACCTTATTAACAGAGGCCATTTTCTTCAATTACTGCCCACATATAATGCCTGAAAAGGACAGCAAAAAAAGCGTCTGATTCCACTCAACCAATGCATTTGATTCAAGGCTCAAACCCGAGGATGAATTATCAATGACTTCATCTGTTGCTGAGTTTCTCTGTTGCTACAGACGTGCCTTTTTCCCTCTATGGATTACCACATCTCACAGCTTTACAATCTTCTGATTCTTTTGCCAGCACCAAAACAGGAGCCAAAGAGATTTAATACACTGAGCAGCCATTCAAAAAACAGCCTGAAACAGTGTTGAGCTTTGGACTGCGTTCACAGTGGCCATCTGCAAGCTGCTGCACACCAAGAAGAGTGGCTCACTGGTCTAGAGGCATGATGGCAAGGCTGTGCGATGCTGGCATCAGAATAAAAAAGTCATTTAACTTGACAACCATCGTAAAAGCAACTATTGATGTTGCCTAGTTTTTTGCCTGCCGCATTGTTCGTTGTTTCATGACTCGTGACTTGCTGTGTTGACTATTGGCTCACTTTCACATTGATTTCTGAAGTGGTGATAGTCTCCTCTCTTTGCCTTGAACTGTTTGTCATTTAACTTTAACATGTCTTTATCGATATCTTGTTAGTGACCATGGATATTTGTGCACTGGCCGTCATTTGTGTGTCCATGTTATCGACTCAAACATTCTTCTCTATGTCAGGATCAATGGCGGTCATCCGGCTGGGTCTAATCTGAGGCAGCCATTCCAGTTATTCAGGGGGTCAAATACCTCGGGCCATGTGTCAGAATTCCAGTCTGCTTCAAGAAAGTATGCAAATGTGGGACCAGCGCTCCAGGTGACCTCACGCACGCACACACACACACACACACACACACACACACACACACACACACACACACCACACACACACACACACACACACACACACACACACACACACACACACACACACACACACACACACACACACACACACACACACACACACACACACACACACACACACACACACACACACACACACACACACACACACAACTCACTGCAGGCACAGTAACAGGCTGTAATGCCCAGGCCAACAGGCACACCGACACATGTTATCCCAAAAGTACCACCATATGCACACTTAAAGCCACATGTCACACACTAGAAATCACTTTTAAATCCTTGCAACAACTGGTCAGCGTACTCGACTGGGCAATACACACCCTCCTCTTCACTCACACTCACACACTCACACACCCGTCCAATAAACCCTCTGTCTCATTTCCCTCAGGCCCCTGAAACCCCATGTGGAGCAGGTGGGCGACAGGCAGACCAAAGTCTCTGGCGCCTCGACACACACACACACACAAACACACGCACACACTCTCTCTCTCTTTCGGCCTGTTTCCTTTTCCACACACCTCCTCTTAATGACCACAGATATGTTAAATAGCTCTGCCACTTAAAGCAGCCACCTCCTTCAGCCACTTAATTTGATATGCTTGGGAGGAAAACAAAGAGAGACCCCTATTGTGACTTTTAACAGTATCCAATCAAGCTTGCCACTCAATTAGCCATGAACGACACAGCACAACCCCATAAGGATCCATTTTATTAAGCGAGTTTCAATGCTGCTGCAACATTGAAGGTAAACCTGCCTGTTGAAGCTTTGGACATGAACCTGTGTTTACAGATTGATCACTCTGCATGAGGTGAAGCTATGAACATAACATAATAATGACAAGAGAGAAGATGAAATCAATATTGGTTTGCTCCATGTCTCCAGATGGTGTTATTGAGCTATATTGTCTTTGAAAGATGAGTCACACTAAATTAAAGACATGCAGGTGAAAAACGAAATGATTGATGGACATAAATCAATAAAGGTAGGTGACACCCAAGTGGGTAAAAAGACATCCAGGCAGAGGTACAAAGACTTTTTTTAGAATCGATTTGCGAGGGCAACCTGGCTGCCAACAAATGAAGAGACAAAATGCCAGTATTATTCCTGTATTATTGTTATCGACAACATAAAATGTGCAATACATGTGTCTAAATGCTGTATTTAGAGCATAAATGAGGATTATATCAAGTCGTCTTTTCTTCAACTGTTGTTTTTATCTGTATAAGTTTGTGGGTTTGTGTTGGTGTGAGTGTGTACGTCTGCCTAGGCATTTAAAAAAAAAAAACAGGCCACAGGTCTGCAGGGACATAGTACAAGGTAAAAGGGGTTTTGGCAGAAGGCAAGCCCAACATAGAAAACAACAAAGAGGTAATGAAAGAAAAAGTCCAGACTGCAAAGTGCTTTAAAGTCTCAGCATTCTGCTCCGAATTAGTCCCTCATGAGACCAGAACTTTGAAAGAGAACAGCACCACAGGGCTCCAAAGTTAAGTATGCTAACCTGACAGCTGTGCATCTCACAGCACTCAACCATTATCAAGTTAAAACAAGTTAAAACTGGTAACAGTCATTCATCATTCAGTAATCCTAATCTACAGTGAAAAGTAGTCAGATGGGTCTTCTTGAATGTCTCTATGTGTGAAATACTGTAGCAACATCATTTTCTATTTCATCTCTTTTGTATGGATATACACATAAATCTGAACCAACAGTTCTTATCACTTACCTGGCAGCAATGTATAACGTCCTGTTCATGATCATGATGAGCTGGATGTCCAGTTTGTGCCGCTGCGTGTTGTTCCTGCCAGGTTTGTGGCCAACAAACGCTGGATACTGTTTTGTGTCTGAAAGGAGATGACATAAATGAATCTCTGTGTGTGTATCGTTTATAAAAGCAGTAATTGTAGTAATAATGACGCATTTTATTTCAAGTTTCTCATTTACTTTAGGTCAAATGTCAACCCATGTGTCTTAGCTGGATGAGAAAACACCACCACAGTTGTTGGCTGAGCTCCTCTAGTGACCATCAATTGTAGACTAAAACTTTGCTGCACTGTACCATGCAATTTTGCTATTGCTAGTGGCTCAGGATGAAAGCGCTTAATTTGAAAAAAACACTCTGATAGAGGAGCAGGTCTATGTGAGGCTGGCTGGCCTCTCTTTCTGCTCTCCTGGCCAGCGGCGTTAGGTGCAGCGTTAGGTCCAAAGAGAGCAGGACAGGGCAGGATGGAGGGAGACACAAAGATAAACCCAGAGAGGAACAATGGCCGCGTCTTTGTAGCCTGCAACAGCATTTACACTATCACACACAGCATTAGAAGCCCAACAGAAAAATAACGGATTATCCTTTGATGTAGGGTGGGCTCCGTTTCAAATGCTGCTTTAAGTCCTTCATTTTAGTGTGTGACGAGGGCCTATCCTTGGGCGCCAAATTACACTCCATGCCTCCAAAGTGCATTCAGTAAAGAGGGAGGTGGGGGTTGCAGAGGAAGCAAGGGTTGAGAGGGATGAGGCAGAGCAAAAGGATAAAACGAGAGAGAGACACTGAGAAGGGGGATTTGCGAAGGGGAAGACAAAGAGGATAGGGAACAGAGTGCAGGGAGAGAGCGAGGGAGGACTCGTAATGAGAGGAAGGACAGTGTGCAAGAAAGAAAGAAAGATGTATATACTTACAGTTGCCGTGTGAGATGCTAATAGGCTCGCTGTCTTCGGGGAAGCCCGCCCCGGCTAATTGCAGTAGCGTGAAGTAGAGTAACAAGGCCTCTGACCTCATGGTCGCACCAACACTGCTGCTGCTGCTGCTGCTGCTACTGCTGGTCCTCTGCTGGTGCTAAAGATTTACCTCAGCCTGCACAAAGAGAGAAAGAAGTGGTTAGAATATGAGGGAAGAGATAGAGAGGGATGAAGGAAATATATGGGGGGATATAAGACAGGAGAAAAAAACAGACAGAAAAAACTAAGTTTTTCAAACAAATCTGTTTTCACCTGACTGCCTCCTCAATTACTTTTCCTCCGCAGTTTCTGCATTCTTTGTTTGAAACAAATAAACACAGAAGCATAAGGGGGGAGAGCGAGGAGAGGCAGAAAAAGAAAGTAGTTAGCCAAACAATTTCAAGTCCACCTGAATAAGCTGTTTGTGCAATTTGCACAACCCATTTCAATCTGATATATTTATATATGCATTTTCGATGACTCAAGTGAGCTGTGTTGCAAGCGAAACAGAATTAATTGGATTATGGTGCTAATATGCGTCATAGATCGATGTCAGAAAGAGAAAATCTCTGTGCCTCTGTCCCTCTCTCTCTCTATCTCTGTATGTGGCAGGGTCTGAGTGAAGTGGGTGAGCTCTTGTTGAGATTAGCCTGCTCTAAAGTATCGGCAGTACCTGAGATGGGGCTGGGTGGTTTGGCAAGTACCTCATTTACCCACTGTCATTCACCTACAAGGGTAGCGATCCCACATCATAACTCCTAGAGTCCGATGACCACCATCACATTGGAACAGCTAATAAACTCCCTAATTAACCAACGGATTGGTTTAACCTGTTAAGCCCTGAGCCTGTTTTTCAGGTCTCAGGCTCGAAAATGACATTCCCAGAACAAATGACTATATCTTCACTTCTAAAAGGGGTAAATTAATAATCTTTTTTCTCAAAGCAATGATAAACCTGTGAGTTGGATGTAGAAAAGTCAGAATCAATATAGAATTTTTTTATTTTAAAGTAAATTCAGATTGAACAAAAAAAAACATTACTTATAGTGAAAACCACCCTTGAATGATGGGATCGTAGACTAAAAGCTTTAGGAATCCAAACTATAACATATAATAAGTACCCTGTATCAAGATTGATGCAAAACAAGTGACATTTTACCTTTATAGAGAGGTTTAGCAAAAAAAGAACCACTTCTGGGGTCATTTGGGTGGATTTATCATATCTCTGGCCCCCCTCGGTCGATTTTGATTAACACCTCTTTTGAACCGTTAAGGTAGGGACACACCAAGCTGACACCAAAGAACTCACACAGACGGACCCGACTGTTGTGTCGCCTCACCTACGTCTTGGCCAACAGTCGCACTGAAACACACCGCAAAGATTTCAGCCGACGGCCAAGTAGCACGTACGAACTGCGCATGCGTGAGTGGCAATAATCTCCTTACCAGCAGGCGGCGGTAGTGTGTATTCGTCATTCAAAAGAGGCAACAACCGGAAGACAGACTGCGTGATAACCGAGAGAAGAAGAACAGACTGCGTGATATAAACAAACAACAAATAGCGTGTGCGTTCCATTTTCACTCTACAGCGAGAAGCTCATGGGGCTTTCCCGAACCTATGTCGAGAGCTGGAGTTAAATGAAATCTCAGATTTGCCTTCTTAATAGTTTGTTTGGGTCCCTTACTTCCGTTTCGCTTCTCATGCACTGATTCGCTAGCTGAACAGCCAATCAGAGTGATTTATTTGACCGACAGTTGTCGAATCGGTAGGTTTTCGGCCAAAAAGGTGTCGGCACGGCCGAAAAGATACGACGGTGCGGGACACACCAATCTGAGTAGGGCGACAGGACGCTCATCGTCGGCCTGACATCCATCGACGGCCAAAATCTGCTTGGTGTGTCCGGGGCTTTAGAGCCAATAGAATAGAGAGGGAAGTTCCTAAATCCACCTACACGTTACCATTGAGGAATGAGAGTGATGCGCACGCAGCTTGCCCAAACCAAAAGCTATGTTACGCTCTGAAAACTGAAAACTGAAAACTAGGTTATAGCCATAAATATGAAGATGGATTATCAGTAATCATTTCAAAGTGACACAGAGACATTGGATAACCTATGGATTAACCTTCAGCAGCGTTTTTATCGTTTTAATGCCATTGAACACAACTTTTGATCAGAAAACAGCAAAGGTAAGACATATATGCCGTTTTGGCTCCGTAAAGCTACGTGGTGTGTTGTCTGGGTTTGCCTTCGCTGGCCTGAGTTCTGGTCGCTCAGTGATGATACTTATACCTCTAGTATCTGTGGAATCTCAGCTTTAATGAATGATAACTTGTTTGTGCAGATCCGATAAGTAATAAAGTATTTATACCGTGAGTTCTGTGCTAAGTGCGTTAGCATTTCTTCGCTCAGGGCTAATTCAGAGGCTAATTCAGAGGCCCGGCAGCCCCCGCCCGCAGGTTAAGAACCACCTGCATGCTTGTACTTTCCTTACTTTCCTCTTAGTATCATTTTTCGTTGCACTCATGCCAACATGCCAACTGTTGATTCCCTATTTTCACTCAATAAGCATGATGACTGCCTGTTTCCTGGGAAAAACACCAGGAAGATGAAAACGGAATGTCCTCAACAATCTCATTTTCTAATGTAATGTATGTAAACCAGCTGAAGTGAATTTTGTAGCAGATGCATTAAATTGTGTTGATGTAATGTCTTTATTGCACAAACCATGGCAACTGAGTTTTTCTCTCCTGCAGTTTGTGGCAACAAATTACACCCATAAATCATCCAAGACAATTATTGCGTCTGTAATCTAATCAAGAATAAAGCATTTAATTTGCATAAAGCCCTTGGTTTCATCCTCAGTTGAAGCTGCAGGGGTGAGATTTTGCAGGGTAGATAGAGTAAGGTGTGCTTCAGGGATGAAGAATTGAATAAAACAGTCGATTTTATGTGATTCAGTCTGATAAAAGTTGTTTATCCCACTCTGTATTTTCATTCGCTATTGTATGTCCGAAGGGGGGAACTAACGGGGGGGGGGGGCTTAAAAAGCAGAATAGCTCTCTCTCTCTCTCTCTCTCACTCTCTCTCTCTCTCTCTCTCTTTCTATGCTCCTGTGAATCTCATTCAGCGGAGGAATGAAAACACTATTCACAGGGAGAATCACTTTAACACTGAGGAGAATACCAATACTAAAGCATGGGTACGACCTTGATCTCACAATCCGTTCTCCTCCCTCCTTTCTTACTCAATGGCCTACTCCTCTTATCCTAGCCCTGTTTTTTCTTTACCACACTCTATATTTAATAAAAAGAAAAAATACCAAAATGGATTTCCCCTCACCCTCACCTTTATCATAAAGTGAAGGTTGACAGAGCTACACTTGCGCCGTGTATTCAATTTCTCTACAAATTGTAAACAAAAAAGCTGTCTTTGTCTTCTCTCTTCACGGTACAGTAAACCTCTGGACTAAAATGAGTTTTTCTCCTGAACCTTGACCCGGAAGTCCTCCAGTAATTGACTGATTGATGACCAGGAAGTGGCATGAGGCAGAGAGGTTAGCCCTCAGGGAGCTTCCACAGTGAATGACGGATGGGAGTTTCAATGAGCAAGAACACAAGATGTGATCTGTACCAAAGCCCAATAAATGGAAATAATTCTGTAATTATATTTTTAACATTATGTCACAATGAAATGTGGAGCTATAATAGCTGCCTAATCATGTGACTGTAGATGCTGTAGTATCATTGTAATGAATCTCATGGGATTAATCATACTGTAGACATTGATCCATCCAGACATTGATCTTGTATGTGCGGATAATTGTTGGCTGCTGAAGGCAAGGCACATCCTCCATCTATATAAATTGTGTGTAATAAAATGCTAGAAGCTGTTAGCCAAACCATCTCACGCTGCCTCCTGTGATACACTAAATACATTTAGCACAAAACGACTTAAATGAAACTCCCAGTAGCTCTTTTGTTACCAGCTGCCACACATGGGTACCAGGAGGGAGCGATACGCAGTCTGTCTTTACCGAATTACGCTCTTTTTGTGGGAGAGCAAATTGCTTCCTTGTGTGTGAGTGTAACGGTTTGTGTGTTTTGAATCCTCATCAAAAATTCTATTTTTGTGCAGCACTATAGACACACAGACAATCTGAGAACATCCAGAAATGAAGGCTTCAGATCCAGAACATGCGCTCAAACTGCAATAATGATTGACCTACAACCACTGAGCCACACTTGCGCAGGTGAAAGTGTGTGTGGAGGTGTCTGAATTTCTTCTCTTGCAAGCTCTCCTCGAAAAGCAACCAAAGAAACGACATAAAGAGCACTGTGCCTCCTCCTTGGGCTTTAATAGATAACATCTTTAATAACCTTAGCTGCTATTCCCTTACACTTTCTGCACTCTTTCAATGATAGAGTAGCTGCTTTTGTGTGTATGTGTGCATTAGCGTGTTTGTGCATGTGTGTTAAGCAGAGAAAGGAGTGTTAATCAAGCCGGTTGCTGGCAGGAGGCCACCAGCAGGTAATAAAAACACAAGGACCCCCCAGAATTTCTCTACATACCCATGCCATCTTTTGAATTACTACATACATGTGAACTAGCACACATTTCAACTCAAACACACTCCTCAGTCACTCCGTATCCTTCTGCCCTCAGCTAAGACCATGAAAACAAAATGAAAAAACACAAATTAAATCAAACTATATTAGCAAACTCATACAACGCAAATCAGCTAAAGAATCAAAGACACACACAGACTGACACACACTTTCTCTTCCCAGACAGAGCAACCCCATGGGGGCAATTTCCTAAAACGGCATTAGCTTGAACAATAAACACATTATCAGGCCTAATGATGTTATTTTTTGCTGTGGCATCAACATGTTAGCTACGGGTGTGTGGAACTTAAATATACACACAATAACACACATGTATTAGAATAACATGGTCAGCCCTGGTGGGCTTCAGGTGAGGAAAAGGAAGGAAACATTCAGTATGGCAGTCTAGTTAATTAAGTGCGCAAACAAACAGAGAAACACAAATAATTAAGCTTGGTTGGGCAGATTTTCCCAACATACACACACATTCATAGAACTAGTTAATCTTGAGAAAGTCCCAGCCATTCATT